CATAATAAAAAAGTTTATTCAAAAGTATTCCGTGGTCCACCCTATCGAACGCTTTAGCAAAATCGGTATATACTACATCTAGTTGACCTTGCCGATCGACACATTCAATAGCGAACTGAGTGAAGATTGTTAAATTAGTTACTGTGGATCTTAGTAAGAAGACCATGCTGAAAAGCAGACAGAGATCTATGAACTGAGAAGTAAATTCTATTATGCAATATTATCTCCAGCAGTTTGGAGAAATTCGACAATATTGCCATCGCTCTACAGTTTTTGATTATTATCCCCTGGTTTGAAAATAGGCGTCGCTCTAGAAAGTTGCCAAATATCAGGGAATGTGTTGGTTTCTATAGACAGATTGTATATTTTTAATATATATATATATATATATATATATATATATATAACTTGAGACTATATAATTTTGACCATTGTACCATCTATCCAGCTCTCACCATGTTACTGGACGTTTCCCTCATCCTATACGTAAACAACAATTAGCAACATCCTCACATACTACTGTAAGTTGAGTCAATTTAAATTCATTTTACACTTTTGTTGCTACTGTTATCATTGTAATTGCAGCTCCTGATGATGATGGCAAAGTCCATTGAAAGCTAGAGAGAATTAAAAAAGTATAAAGAGTCCTCTTTGCTTAAATTTTGTCGAAGTACCCAACAAAAGGCGGAAGCTTTAATTTTTCACCTATATATATATATATATATATATATATATATATATATATTTATATATAATTACTTGTTAATTGGGAAAATTGGCAAAACTTTTAGGCTAAAGTTGACTCTTTTGATGATAAAATCAAGCTTTCGGCATTCTCTATGGAGCCATCATCAGGATTCTGAAAACACAATTGTGATGCTAGCAAAGAAGACAGATTTAAAATGTCAGACAACTTACTCGTCGGTGAGGTTGCAGCCACAAGGTAGTAGTAGTAGTAGTAGAAAGATTTATTTAGCACATTTGGCTACATAAACAGAACAATTGTAAACAACTTAGAACTAGTAAATTCAAGCCATATGGTGTATGATGTAAATGCTGGGCAACCTATAATTGTAGATTTAACAAGTGATTTCTCAATTTTACTTTAAATTTTGTCAAAGTTTTCTGGTCTTTTATCTCCGAGTATAATTTATTATATTCAATCAACCCTTGATGGAATACAGATTTGTAGCATATGTTATACTTTTTGGTCATTAAATGGAAGTCATCTTTATTTCTGGTATTATGTAAATGATGGTCGACATTTGATGATGTTAAATTAGTTAGACTTGATGGAAATATATTATTTTTTACTTTATAAATGAATATCATTACAAGATATTTGATAAAATTTTTTACATTGAGCCATTTTAATTTGCTAAGCATTTGCCTAATTGGAGTATATTTATCTTTATTTAGTATTATTCTCATGCACTTATTTTGTAAAATTTGCAGTCTTTCAAAAATGGAATTATTTGCTAAATATAGAATAGTCGAACAGTACAAGAAATTTGGAAGAATGATGGTATTATAGATAATTTTTCTGCTATATGAACTCAGACATCCAGAAACTCTCGATAAATATCCCACTTTACTACTAATCTTATTTATAACTTTTCATAATGAATATCAAAAATTAATCGAGAGTCAACAAAAACTCCCAGGTATTTAAAATTTTCTACGAATTCAATATCTTCACCATCAATATTCAGTTGAACATTTGTACATTGTTTTTTTCCGATTAACAAGGCTTTCGTTTTACTTGCATTTAATTTTAGTCTGTTAGATGCTAACCATTTTGAGACAAGCTTCAAGTCTTCATTTATATAAGAGATACCAGACTGAATATTTTTAGTACTTATATAAATCATAGTGTCATCGGCGAAAATTTGAATTTTGCATTTTTTGACTATGGCAGGTAAATCATTTATGTATAAAATAAAAAGAAGTGGTCCCAGGATACTGCCCTGTGGAACACCCAACGTATTTTCAATTTTTGATGAAATAGTGTCATTAACTTTTGTAACTTGCATCCTTTTAGACAAATAATTTCCAAACCAATCTAAAACACTTCCTGTTATACCATATGCCTTCAATTTACCTAACAAAATATCTCTATCAATCGTTTCAAATGCCCTCTTCAAATCCAAAAATACTGCTATGACAACTTCTTCTGAGTCTATGGCTCTTCTCCAATTCTCAGTTACCAACTGGAAAGCTGTTTCTGTGGAATATTTTTTTCGAAAGCCTGCTTGCGCCTCCACTAAAATTTTGTTTTCTTCTATAAACTGCATTAATTGGTCATGCACTATGGACTCTAATAATTTTTCAATGTCTGGTAACACATTTACTGGTCTCATATCGCTGCATCTTTTAGAATTTTTTATCTTGGGAACTGGTGTTATTGTAGAGCATTTCAAATTTTCAGGAAAAGAACTGCTTCTCAGTGAACAATTGATCCAATTTAATACAGGATATCCCAAAATTTCGAAACAGTTTTTCAGCACGTTTTTAGTAATCATTTCGGCACAGTTGTTATTTGATTTTAAACTGTTTACTTTTTTTCTTAGATAATTCAATGATACGCTGTGAAATTTTGAAAGTGTATGCAACATTTCCCCCTGGAAACTGATTTTCATATAGTCAGGTGCAGCATTGGCAGTACCTACAATATCAACAATACTTTCCACAAAATATTCATTTAGTTTGTTTGCAATCACCAAAGAATTTGTTTCGGTACCGTTTTCGAATTGAACTTGATTTACACAATCATGCGGCTTCGAATTGATCAGTCTTTTTAAAGTCTTCCACATCTTTACACTGTCGCACTTGTTATTATCGATTTGTTTATCGTAGAATTTTCTTTTTTCTTCTCTAATTACATATACACATTTATTCCTAAGAGTTTTATATACCTCCCAATCATCATTTGATTTTGTGAATATACATTTATTGTATTGTTTGTCTCTCAAATTTTGAGCTACCTTAATATTCTTGTTATACCAGGGTGTATTTTTTGTCGAGCAAATCAGTTTTTTATCAGTTGCAAGATCTAAACAAGTTTTTATATTTCCTATTATGTTGTCATATATTTTTTCCATATTCTCACCAAAATTCCAATAGCAGCCAGCAAGTTCTCGTTCAAGTTTTTCGTACTTAATAGTATTTACGATTTTCTTAATTTTTGTATCATAAAAATGCCCTACCAAGGGCAGCATTGTCCAACTGTGATCGCTAACTTTAGGTGTATGTACAGCTTTAATCCCTGCACATTCGAAATTTACAATAACAAGATCTAACAAAGTCTCTGATAATGATGTTATTCTGGTATTCTCTTCAATTTTTTGCTTGAACCCATAGTTGTTTATGGTTTCTTTCAATTTTCTTGTTTTCATGCTTTTACCATAATAATTTAAATTAAAATCACCTAAAAGTATTATATTGTTTCTAAAATTCCACATTTCTTCGCATTTTTCTTCAAAAAACGTTAAAAATGTATCTGCATCACTGTTTGGTGAACGGTAAAAAGTACAAAGATCATAACGTTTCCCAAATAATTTGAACTGTATATGTGCATACCAGTATGCATAGTCTAAAGTGGTACAATCGAATAATGTGATCTGTATTTTGTGGTAAACATAAATCACTACACCTCCAGTATGTCTGGAGTTGGAGTTGCATCTGTAGGTTTTATAATTAGTAATTTGTAATTCACCATCAGTGATGTCTTCTGTAGCATGTGTTTCGGTAAGACATAATACAAGTGGTTTTCTCCATCTTAAAAACTGTTGAACTTCATCTATATTATTCAGGACTCCTTGTATGTTTAAATGGTATATTGAGTTATATTCATCACTTATAGATTTAGCCACGTCTTGCAAATCTGAGCTTAGTAGTTGCTATTCATTTGCATAATTAATTTTTCCCTCTCACGTTCAATTTTCCTTTTATATACTTCACAATTTTTGTCAAATGGTCCATGATTAATAGGTAATCCTAGATTAAAATCTTTGTTTGCACTTTTACAATTTGGACAGCATTTGTACATTTCACTGGTACTACAGTTTTCTGTTGAATGTCCTTCTAATCCACAAGTAAGACATCTTCCTGATTTTGTGCAGTATTTAGCTGTGTGGTTAAATCCGGTACATTTATAGCATCGCAAAACATTGATGTACTCGAAAACAGAGCAAACAGACATGTCGATAAAAATAACACCCTGATTCATAACACACTTAAAAGTCACAGCATCCACTTCTAAAATTGCTTGATATTTAGTTTTCATTTTCTTGACTGTAATTACTCTCATATGTGAATTTTCTTGAAAAGATTCATTTTGTGATTTTATAGTATTTATTAGCTCGTCTTCTGCATATTCTTGACAAAATCCAATAACTTTGATTTGTGGTTTTTTACTTATCTCTGAAGTTTTCACTGTATATGTTTCTGGCATTTTTGATTTTATTTCATTATGTAGCTTCGCGTTATCATCTTTTGTTTTACATTGGATTTTCACCCCACCATCTTTCAATTCATAAACTTTTTCAATAGCAATTTTCAAACTGGTAGGATTCACAAATTTTGCGATGTCTTTCTTTGTGTTATTACACTCTTGTTGGTTATTAGGCTTAACAATGACTGTATTTGTGGGTTTTAATACTGGTGATTGTTTTTTTGCTGTACATGTTTGTGTAGGCGAATTAACGGTTGAAGGCCCTGAAGCTTTAACCATATTAGCGTAAGTTGTAATTGCTTCTTGTGACGGCTGTTGCATTTTCCCAATTTTTTTGTTTAATTGGTCTATCTTTTCGTACAATTCTTTTATTAATTTCTCTTGAATCGAAATGGTATAATCTTTTAGTTTCAAAACTTCCTCTGTACAAAATCCCTTTTCACTCAGTGAGACCACACTCTCCACTTCCTCACTAGCTCCATCCTTTTTAGAGTTTTCCTCCATATTCACACTAAAAATTCAGGAATCTCCTAAAAACCTTCTTTAGCTTGACCTAATTTTTGACATTAGAAGTCAAAAAAGTATTCCCAGAATTAATTTTGTGCAATCTCTTCCGTGTGGGATCTGCAGCTGCAAACAGGTGTGGCGATATATATTTCGTTAATCTTCCCGGTGATCCTTGGTTGATATTTTTATGTGTGGTCTTTACCAATATTTCGTGTCTGTGTTGGAGCGAATAAAAAGAGCAAGTGTAGTAGTTAATATGGTTCTCGCTATTTAGGTGTTTCAGAAAGAACGTAGAGAAGATCGAACTTGTCTTCAGTATAAAAACAAAAGGACGGGGACATTGGGCTTGTTAAAAAACGACAGATACCTTCGTTAAAAGTTAAGAAAACTAAACATTTTTATATCAATAAACCCGAAGACGCTAAAAATACTGCACGTGTGGAGACATTTTGTTGAAACAATCGGAATGCAGTCCCTAACCTTCTACTACCGCTACACGTGGAGAGGGGGAAAGGCACGGAACGGCAGAGCATCGACAGAAGACAAGTGATTGACGCGACCCATCTTTCTTAAATGTGGTCTCATCTGACTAGGATATACAATCACTATCTTTCTGAGTGACAAATTGGAAAGCTGTCAAAGTAAACCGATTATGTTTATTGAAGCTCAACAATTAATCATTAAACAGTTACACCATATGATATCAGTATTCATAAACCAAACTTCATGATTTCGTCCTCCCGGCCAAAAGACAACGAACCGTGGACATCTGTTCCGTGCTTTTTGGCTACTCATCAGTACAGTTTGGACTCTCGTATCTGAGGCACGAACGAAAGCATCGCAACTATCCGCTATCCATGGGGGACGGTCTAACGATAGTCCGATGCTCTATGAAAGCCTCTGGATTATGAGAATTATCCCCAGATATTTTACGTAGCTCATTTTTCTAAGCTTGAGCATAACCGTGACTGAGTTTCATTTGCAGATGTCGCTATAGAGGAAATGAACCAAATTTGAGATACTTTTTTGAAAAGGAAAAATAAAGCACTTGTTGTTTTAAACGAGTAAATATTTTTATGAATTTCCAGCTGGTTTCTTGATTTGAGATACTATTCAAAAAAATCCCTTTCCTCCACAGAAAGTGCAAAATTTATTGGTAATTTCTTCACAATCTTCATGTGTCCATCTACTACAATGGCTACATTTTGTCCATTTTTCACCCTTCTTATCTTCTGAAAATCGACCTTTACAAAATAAACATTCAGCATCGCTTTCACCGATTTCGTCTGAAGATGAATCGTCCAACTTAAGGCTTCCGCTACATTCTGAACTTGAACTGAAGGAGGAAGGTATCCGATGTATTTCCGGCGAATAAAGAATTAATAATAATAAATTTCTATAATTTTTCTTTGTTAGATATTTCCAAGACCATTGAGGAAAATACGGACCTGTACAATCTCGCTTTTGGATATGTTATGTTTTGTCTGGGTGTAAATGGACTACGAACGGGGTATATTAAATCTTGTCGTTGCCTTATTTTAGCAAGGAAATAGCCTGATGATTCACGTCGGTGGTCATTGCGATCACCAGACCTGATACCCATGGATATTTTCTTATAATGGTACCTCATTTGCAAAGCCTATGTCAATACTTTACAAGTAGTTCAAAAAAACTGGTGAAACTTCTGTAACCCATGAAGTCCTTATGGGGAGACTTAAACAAGGTCCTCTTTCCTTTTCCAGACGAGCCAAACTACATAAAACAACTAAAGCAGCTGAGATGGGGCCACTTGAAGCATATCCAGAGGGAAGTCCGTCGCTTGGAAGATCTCGAAAGATTTATTGATTCGTGTTCCATCACTACCATACCAGAATTGTAAGAAGTAAATTAAATAAAACTCTGTGGAAGTACAATCGAATGGCTTTATTCGATGATTATATTACAAACGCACTAGTAAAAAATATAAATTGGAAAGCTATTTACAACTATGTACAATGGTTAGGGTATAAGATATATAAATAGTAATTATTGTATACAGGGAGTAACGCAAAATAGACTGCCTAATAGTAATGAAGACCATATTTACAAGGAAGGTTGCCAAGCACATGTTACGGTGGTCTGTGGCTATCTAACAGCTTGGCTACCTACAGTAATAATCAAAATGATCCAAAACGATATCAGAACTGAAAGTAAATGCATTTGTGCTAGACTAAGACTGAAAAGATTGGCCTTCTTCAAAACCTGTCTCTTAACGAACTTTAGTGTTTTAGTTTAGTTTAGTTTTACTGAGCCTGGAAACATAGGCATACTTCTAAGTACTGCTAGCTTATGTCAGCATCTTCACGGAAAAACTGAAACCAAATATATGTTTGCTTATCGAGACAGGCGGGTTTAACTAATGGTAAAACTGTGCAATCTTTGAAGCATAACCCAGGTTGTTAATTATGCCCGATACCTGCCTCTGTTTGCTCTTGAATCTGTGATAATAATCTGCTCAATCTCACTTTGTTGACATGTAAGAATATTTCCACGTAATGGAGGTATACGATCCCTTTGTTTGTACTTGCAGCTCTTTCTTAAAAGACAAATTTATCTTATTTCCATCGCGCTACACCACCGATCAATAGTTAACGTTCAAAGCAGATAAACAAAGCTTCGTGTGGACCGCGAATTAAGTGGAGTGGAACTGATCCTAAACACATTTCCGTAAACGAATTTATCTTCCGCACATCTCAACTGGTTCTGTTACAACCTCTGACGGAGAGCTGAATATCGACATTTTCAGTGCCGCGCAATTTGAAGTGACTGAATCTTCATATTCTGGAAGGTTCATGATAATTAGGGAACTAATAATGGTATGAAAAACCAAAAACCCCCGATTGAATGGAGTTTTTCCCAGCTTTACAATAGTGATCTTGGATTGGACGTTGACCATAACTCATTTGAAGGTCAAGTCGATTTTTGTTATTTGAATTATCAATAAATTAATGTAAACTTGTGTTTGACCTTGATGGTCAATTCCGATGGCAAGTTCCAAAACTGGTCAAGGACATCAGAACATAAAATTTGTCTTTACTTTCAGGGTCCCATTGAATAAAAGAGTCGTCCTCCAAATGACCTTCAGGGTCACGGACAAGGTCAGGTCCAAGGTCATCATTAAATATCCAAGGAAAATCATGGAAATAATAAGTCGGTGTTTCCCTATATGACTACTGGCTTTCAAGTTATATCACCATACCTGGGCTTGACCTTGATAATGACCTATTAAGGTCAAAAATTTGGGATGATCTACAGTATATTCAGATAAGAGATAGACCGGATGTAAACAAAAGGTTCGGGTGATTTTCACGCTAACGCCGCCGTCTCGACGTAAAACAGGAGCCCTCATTGGTCAATTCGCAATTAAATGCCTATGCCGAGCGGCAGAGCAGTCGTATCAAGGCAGAGTCACATTCAGGTTCAGACGTGTTACGTATGTCGTGTGCATCATTGCAATTTGATATTTCTTTGGATGTTTTCGTTTGTTATCTTATTAGGTTGTTGAGTTTGTCGTTGTTATTGTTATACCTTGTTATTGATTGTTATTGTTATCAACTGCTTGCGCAAAATGCCCAGTAGTACAGATACTGCCGATGAAGTTGTAAACTCCTGTAGTCCACCTAGGAAACGCTCCAAAAAAAGACACCTAAGTGCAGAAATGAAAGAGGTCATTATGAATATATATAAGATGGAGCGCGAGGAGAACGAGGCATCAACCATCAAAGAAATTGTTGTGAAGGTTTCTCACAAAGTTGGGGTGTGTCGCGCATCAGTGTTTAATGTGTTAAGACAATACAAAAAAAATCACACCTTTTCTGAGCCAATGACCAGTAAACATCGCAAAAGTATTGTTAAATCATTGGATGAAGCTGATAAGCATGCGATTAGGAGGAAAGTGCATGAATTCTTCTTTCTTAAAAAATAAATAATAAACATATTACAAGTAACAAAACTTTTATAACTTGCGATAAAATGCGTGGATGTTTTATTGTCATTTTCATTTGTTAGAACTTTTTTAAGCCATGTTTTTATGTGTTTTCGATATTTCAATAATTTTTTAATATAATCTTAAAATATGTCGAATATTATAAACTTAAAAAAAGTTACTAAGTTTTATATTGTGTACCGTTCCTAATATTTCTAATCATTTTAATTCATACTTTAAGCTTTATAAAGTTATAATTTGTTAATATTAATATTTGCGCGTATTTCAGGTTCCTGATCATTCATTTTTTAAAGGTTTATAACTTTAAATTAAATTGTGAAGCGCTGACTAATCATACGACGTTCAATATTCTTTCTTTCAATATGACTAAATAATCCCAATTATAGCAATCTGATACTCATGTCTCAATGTTTTTTCGCTGAATGTGATGAAAACATTTGAAAAAGGTTCGCTTATTGAAATAAATATACACCAGTTAGTACTTCGATTTCCAGGTAAAGGGAAAAGGCTCATTATCTGCCATATTGGCAGTGAGGATGGATTTGTTGTTGACGGTCTGTGGTGCTTTGAGTCTAAGAAAACTGGAGATTACCACGAGGAAATGAATGGCGAATCGTTTGAACAGTGGTTTTCAAAAATTTTACCGAACTTAGAGGAAAACGCAGTAATTGTGATGGATAATGCGCCTTACCATTCTCGAAGAATGGAGAAGGTCCCAACAACGGCTTCAAGGAAAGTTGATGTTCAAAATTGGCTCCGCTCGAAAAATATCAACTTTGAACAAGCAATGCTGAAAGTACAATTATTAAGAATTTTCAAGGATCACAAGGCGGAATATCAAAAATACGCCATTGACGAAATGACAGCAAGTCAAAATAACACTGTGCTCCGTTTACCTCCATACCATTGCGAGCTCAATCCCATTGAGCTCATATGGGCAGAGGTTAAAAATTATATAGCTAAGCACAATACAACTTTTAAATTTTGTGACCTCAAAGGACTTTTCAAAGAAGCACTAGAATTAATAACAGCGCAAAAATGGGAAAACGGTATTAAGCACGTGAAAGACAAAGTTGAAAAGAGAATGTGGGAACTGGACAATATTTTAGAGGAACAAGTCGAGCCATTCATTATTGACGTTGGTGCTTTAGGCAGTAGCGATGATGAAAGCTCATCAAGCTCATCTTTCCAATAAAAGGTGTCGTTCATCAAATTCGGTAAGTTATAAGTAATTATAAAGCTACTGTATTTTTTAATTAATTATTGACATTTTTGAACCCATTTTGGCAAAACCTATTCAAGAATCTACTTTCTGACAATGTTCAACCATGCACATTTTTTTACGTTTTGAACGTTTTAATTTGGTTACATATTTACCTAGAAATCAAAAAATATACTAATCAGTATTCTAAAAGCAATTTTAAGAGATATACGATTATTTTTAATTTAGGCTAATTTAAACGCCATTTTGAGATTATATTCGACTGTATATCACCAAACATCAGGCGGCATCCGAAGCTTGAAATCGAAGCGAAAATTTTGAAACCTTTATGTATATTTACATCATTATATATTTCTTACCCCACCCCCACATGATCCTATATCCATCACCAATCGTATACACATCGAATTGTGCTAATTTACTACAAACTTACGCAAAGCAGCATCTACTATCTAAAATATGTACTGCGTAACTCTTAATACGTCCCTGCCGAATGTTACAGCATTCGATGATCACGTGGTCTTGTTTATGTCCGGTCTATCTCTTATCTGAATATACTGTAGACCATATTTCTGTTCATTTCTGGGGTCAGAAAGGTTACATTTAAAAAAATCGACTTGACCTTCGAATGACTTTGAAGATCATGGTCAAGGTCGAATCCAACGTCATTATTAGATAGCTGGGGTAAACTCAGTTTTTTCGTGCCATTATAAGTTCAATAATTCTCGTGGGGTTCCCGAACCTTTCAGACAGCCTGTATATTATGTCAGGTAAAACATTGATTGACTCATATCAAATGTCCCTATAGTATTGACTACGACTGACATTGTGAGGACAGTTTGACTGCCCCCTTGTAATAGTTTTGAACTGTACACTACTAGGTACAATACTGCCACTTGACGATATAGGGTATATTGGATACTAGTAAATAATCAGCTGTTATTTGTTTTTTTGTTTTGACGAGTGCAACTATCACACATTGCTCTAGAACATCAAACAGCTGTCAGAAAACAATTTCTGCATAATCTATACAATTTACAGTAGTTTGTCTCTATGAGGGCATTTGAAGGTCATTTCCAAGTCATTTTAACTTAACATTTCTATGCATTATTACAAAAAGTTTTGCATTGGTTTCCATGATAGTACTTGATAGTTCGATAATGTATACGAGTAGTTAAGGTTCTGATACTGGATTTGTCTGAGCCTCATATTTGGCTGTAACTACCGTACACGACATACTCAGCAGAACTTAAGATGTTGAAATCGTATACGTTTATCTCTGTTGACTTTTACAAAGGTTATTATACAGGAGAGTGTATTTACAACAGTAACTTGGTACAAAGTGACCATGAGAAATAAGAAAAATGTTATGCATCGTGGCATCATAGAGAGTGTTACAGGTGACCGCAGTGCAAGGTATATTGAATGGGAAACTTCTACTGTTACCAAAGAGTGAAAGTTCGTTGATATGAGACACAAACATGCAAGCAATACTAAACTAGCATGCTAGTAGTCTGAGATGAAAATGCCTATCAAAATATAACCTTAAGTTCACAGCTAGGCTATTTGAAACAATTTTTATTAAAATCTTGACAACAAAGAGAAACTTGTGACATCAGGCTGAACGCTGATCGAAATCAATGGAATCTCCTCCCAGCGATAGTTTCTGGATAATTACAAGAAACCGAGATACATTATATTTCACACAGATACTATAGTCGCAACTCTAGTCTCGTCCTTAGGGCACGAACATAGTGGAACAGTACACCTTGCCACTTATCGTGCCATCCGGCTACATCATTATGGCACTTATCAAATTGCACCTTGTTGAACACATGATCCGATCCGGAATGCCGATCCCGGACTGAGCCAGATTTGTCACGTACACTCCCTGTGATGCTGGACCTGTATAGTTTTCGTCGTGAAATGCTACATTTGAGATGCGGCAAGTTCTTAAATAATAATTGTTCTATGACTGCGATATAAGCAAGACAGTGTGCTTTGAATAACAATATTGATATTTTTTGTTGACAAGGCAAACCAGTGAATACAAAGCCACCAGACCCACTGCAGCACCAGATGCAATAAAAATATATAAATCTTGCCAAGAAAAAGGTTTCTTGTACGTACAAGCAAATTGAAGACTCCATCTCATATAAGCGTAACTAATATATAGCGACACCGACTCACTGATATTTTTCAATCATTCTATGGTCACTCAGTACCCCATTACCTAAGTAACGCATTTACGCCTTTTTCCTTTTCGGAATCTTTTGTATGTAACTTCCTATCGTAGAAGCTTCAGTTGTCGTAGTAGTTGTAGTACCATCTTCGTCAGGTTCCTCCTCTACCCTGGGTGGTGGGTTGAACCTCTGGTTTCTCTTGTTCCGACCTGGTTCGTTCAGCCTGACAGTAGGCGTATGTACACTAGTCTCACCTCCAATGAAAGGAATGTACCTGGGGCCCTCCCTCGGTCTAGGGTTGAACATGTTCGTGATGAACCTTGGTGTGAACCTACTGACTAGAGGAAGTACCGTATTCCGAGTGAACCTCTCGGCTTGTTGGAACATTCTACCTAGGTTTTCGGGAAGGATCTGAACTTGGGTTATGATAGCTTCCAGGGGGTCCTGGGGTGGTCGTAGGGGCTGGACCTGGAATTATTTACAAGAAACCGGAGTGAGGCACTTTTAGCTAGGAGTAAGTTCAGTTACTAGAGTTGGATGAGTAAGAATTGTTAGATGAGTAAGAATTCTGAAATGTTGTGTTAGACGTTAGCTTAAGCGATGTGGTATAGTTTCTGCACCAACTGATAATTCTTTCATGCAATATTCGATATCGAACCAGAATCCAAATTGGAAAGCGATACCAACAGTAGGGCGACGGGATGAGTCCTATAAATGAATATTACATGACTAAGAATGGTTTTGTATCAATTCTTCCAATTGAGATATCTGGTATAACAGAGCATTCCAATAAGGTAGGGTCGATATCGCTATAAAATGTGTGTGTGGTATTAAAGAAATTATTCATCAATTCTATACATTTACGTATGCCATTATACAGGGTGCTCAAAAAATAGACAGATATTTTAGAAGGTGATTCCTTGTTAAAAAATGTGAAAAAAGGTTTCTATAAACATGGGTAATAAATTTAAAAACAATGTATCAATATCTTAAAACATATTTACTCGATGCTGTTGAAATTTGTCAATATTATTTGTTGTATTAAGAGGTTCATTTCGCCCTAGATAGATTCAAATTTATAGGTCCAGTGGCGTCTCGGGGGGCAGCTGAGCGAATATTATTGGCAAAAAATGTAACTTTAATATTTGTTGCTCAAAAATACAACCTCGATGCTTGCTGCATTTTCTTCGTATCTCACTCCGTTTTCGAGAAAAAAATAGAAGCGGTTTTATTGCACCTCACTGGACAAAATTAGTTTATTAATTTATGCTAAAGAATCACAACTGCCCTGGAAAGCAAAATATCAAAAAAAATTCTAGGAAAGAGTGTTATGTCAAATTTTTCAAACATTGGAAGTGTCCACCATCCATTTCCGTGATAGCTTCTCACTTGACGAATCGTTGAACGACGAACTCGAGCTAAAATTTAGTAATAATAAGTATTTATAATTTTATTTTTTAAATCTCAAATTGTTTCTATGGGAGTAGCGTAAGCCATCGTCTTAAGGTGTCCCATAGATAAAAATCTATTGGACTTAAGTCAGGGGAGCGAGGTGGCAAGTGATTTGGCCCTCTTCTTCCAACCCAAATTTTCACCAAAGGTGCTATTCAGAGGAGTTCTAACAAATATCCTAAGATGAGGAGCACCTATTTGGTTACGTACATTTAGAGGAACTTCTTCTAGCAGTGCAAGCAATTCTTGTTGAAGAAACTCTAAGTAAGATTCGCCGTTTAATTTTAAGAGTAAAGAGAAAGGACCAATAAAATTGTCACCAACAATACCCATCCATACATTTTAAGAAAATTGTTCTCGGTGGCGACATTGTACGTAAAAAGTATGGTTTTATTGAAATTCATATTATTGTTAACCTTTTGGTGTTACCAATGGCAAAACTGTAAACGAGGTAGAAAATCTCTTGGTGATAATGCTTGCACACGTTGGACACGATAAGGATACAAAAGTTGCTCAGAGATAACCTGCCACACAGTGCTGTGGAGCTATTACCCCCTAATCTAGTTGCTATAATCCTGCTACTGATACCAGGATTTTGTTACATGGCACGTAAAGCTTCCTCGTCAAACTCAGGCGTTTTTACGGACGTCGATCGTCCTCTACCATTGGTGGAAATGGAAAAACTTCCTAAATAACATGATTTTCAAAAACATCAGGAAAAAGAAATAAGGAATTTCAAAGGTTTTACTATCTAAAAGTTGCCGTTGGGAAATGCTTATGCAGCGAGGCACATAACCGTTACTACATACATACATTACATACATTACATGCATGTCTAAATGAATTTTGTTTTCCAAGGCACTTGTGATTGTTTAGCAAATATCAATTTTGTCAAGTGACGTGCAAATAAAACGGCTTGTATCTTTTTTCTCGAAAGCGAAGATACGAAAAGAATACAAGAGGCAAAGAAGTTGTATTTTTAGATGCTCATTTAAACAACAACATTACAAAAGCGTACATTTTTTTGCCGATAATATTTGCTAAGGTGCCCCCGAAACACCACTGGACCTGATAATTTTAATCTATTCAGGGCCAAATTGACCTCTTGATACAACAAATAATATTGACAAATTTTAACAAAATCCAGTAAACATTTTTTAAGACATTCATAAATGTATTTTTAAGTTTATCACCCTGTATCTTGAAAACTCAACTCAACTTCCGGACCCATGTTTATAAAAACCTATGTCCATATTTTTTTATCAAGGAATCCCCTTTAAAATATCTCCCTCTATTTTCGAACACTCTGTATATGGAATATGACGTTCAGATATTTGCCATGACTACGCACAGCAGCATGGATCCAAAAAAATTTAATGACTGCCGCATAGATTTGGATCACATTGTTCAGAGTTACGTTGACTTGGACATGCATTGCGGCATAGGTCACAACTTTATGTATAAATGATTTTACACAAAGTTACTGTTTGGCGTGAGTTTAAGGGCAGTGATGTCATTATCGCGCTCTGGCTTGAAAACAATGCTGGTGATGTTCTTACTGTCAATGATGAGCATCACAGGTCAATAATAAACAACAACCAAATGCAATATGGAAGTGGACAAAGCGGCAGCGATCGTGACCGAGCTTGATAACGAGTATGAAAAAATAAAATGCACGTATATACCTCATATACCTCCTATTGATTGGTTATTGAAGGGGAAGAAGTGGCTTCCGGCAATACCAGCTGCAAAACAGCTACAAGCAGCTGAAGGAGTGTGTGTTGTTTCTCCGCAATGCCTTCCCACGCTGAAGATTAAAATCCCATTCGAAAAGGACGGGGTAGCACCAAAACCAAAACAACTAGGCGTAAGGTACTATATGAAGGGATACTACTCCACAAACTGGTATTCGGCACCTGATATCCCAGAATCTGGAGCTTGAACAAATGGCGCTCACATCATAATGTCAGGAGAAGAGTGACTGATACGAAACACCTAACTCTATAAAGGAAGGTTCAATGAGTGACCTTGAAGAAGGTATGTTCGATAGAAGTAATGGAGAAAGCCACAGAGTTTTTTTTTCAACACAATACTGAATCACTGAAAAAGAAAGATATATCACGTGTGAAATTATACAATCAAAAAAATGTAAACTTTACCAAAATAAAATGATTGAAAAGGGTTTGTTCTATGAATGGGTACTCTACCATTAATAAAGAGAAATTCAAATTACTAGTATGTGATCAAAATAGTAAAAAACAAGGTTACGTGCTTTTGGCTCGTGACACTATACTATTAAATTTGAATACTTCACAGGGAAATTATGATGGTAATGGACCTTCTGCACGGATGTTATGCCACGAGTCTCATGTTTCGGTTTCAGCCTTGGTCGCGATTGCAGTCCACGCATATCCCCATAATCCACATTACTCAGGTTACTGCTCAAACTGACTCCAATCTATGCTGCATAATAATTAAAAATTTGACTTTCACAATGGCATGCAATATTTCATTAAACAAATTTGGTTGATCCTTCAAAGAGGGCTTTCGAAGTGGATCCATACTTATTGGGAAAAACGGTAGCATCCTATCGACTGCATAAGTGGTCTCATTTAACAATTTATGTTCAGCAATCATCAAGTCTCATGATCTTTTATTAAACATATTTACAATATTATGGACAAAGAAAATTAGAAAAATATAAATAGGTTGTATTGACCAAAGTAAAAAAATACAATGTAATGACAGATATTTACAAAATGAAAACAGTACTTTACTTTGAGTGAGTAATCAATGGTATATACTTGATTTTCCTGATGCTAGCATCATCAAAAACAGGTAAGTCGATGAAAATGGCTTTGTGATTATTAGTTACTGCAGTGGTGTGATCTGTGACTGGTATGAATCTTTGTATTTTTGTACTACTAACGTTATTATCATCTCTAGCTCTTCGGCTGTACTCTTTCGTAGTTGGTGCCTTTTTGGTTGAAGTCGTTGTAGGAGCAGGGGTAGTGGTAGGAGTCGACTCAGGAATGCTGGTTGTAGTCATCATGATCTTCTTAGTAGACGCCTTCAGCATTGCCTTCAACTGTGCTTCTTCTTCCTCGGATTTCTTTGTGAGCCTCTGTATATGGGTGTGTGGAGTTGTTGGATCGGTAACTGGTTTAAATTCTTTTTCTACGATGACATGTCTGGACTCGCTAACCTCAAACATGGGTTTGTCCGTTTCCTCAACGCTCTTGGATTTAGTCTTCGAACTTTTCCTCGTCGTGGTCTCATCGTAATGCAAGGGCACGTACTTAGGGGTGGTCTCCCTGGGAGTGATCATATCAGCGATGAATCTAGGGGTATAAGTGCTAACTAAGGGCAAAATGTTATCTCTGGCGTACTTTTCTGCCTGCTGGAACATTCTGGCAAGTCTTTGAGGTAGAAATTGGACGGTGGTCGCAAGTGACTCTAGAGGATCTTGGCTAGGTCGGTCAAATCCGGGCATCACCTTTGACTCATCTTGTCTCTTTCTCTTTCCCTCATGTTTTGGATTCGCGGGTACTTGTTTCGGTACCCAGTCATTGTCGAACGCAATTTTGACAGAACTTTTCGCCTCTGTCTTCAACTCAATAACAGGGGCTTTTGTAGTTGTGGTGGTGGTAGTAGTTGTAGTCGTAGTGCTAACTATGGCTGTTGCTTTGATGCTTTTGGCGGTAGTCGGACCTACAACAGAGTAGATATGTTATTAATAAAAAAAATGTATTTTCGTGTACAGAATGATTCCTAATGAATCATTTCAACGATGATATTGAATAATTATGTGGCGTTAGTTTAGTTCTTATGATCGTTCACACAAATATCTCCCTATGCTCAACAGAGTAAGTACATCATGTATAGCCTAAATACAGGGTGGCGCATCGAAAACGACACAGATGCATTTACTGGCAACTCAGTTTTTTTTTGAAAAACGCTCAGATCCGTCGGTTTTGTTTTCGAGGGGGATACAAGTTTGGCAAAAAATCACGTTAGCATGTGCAGCGGGGGCGGGGCGACACCACCCCCAAAATCTTAAATGGAAAGGGGGAAAATCTGGTAAGTTTGTTAAGATTTGAGATTGACATGACAACTTGTGCTTGTCCTTTCTAATGTCAGTTGTACGTTGTATTATATTTGGAATTGTGTTTGGAATATTGGACTTTGCAAATGTTGTTCACTCTGCTTATCGACAAGACTAATCATACATCCGACCGGGTTGCCTAGACAGGTGTACAAAGCACCCTGATAAGTTGATAGCCTATTGTAACATTATAGACCTAACCATGAACGAAGAATTCTACGAGGATGACCTGATTTCTCTGGAATTGTTGGAGTTAGGTATAGCCAGACGAATTTTCCAGTGGCAAGAGTATTTCCAGACAACGGATAGCTTTACGGGTGCCAATAAACGTGATGAAAAATGCAAATATTGCAATCTCTTTGTTCTCGATAATGCTTTTATATTTCTGAATAACAAATAGCAGAGTCGTTTTTTCTTCATTAGTGAGATTTGTAGCACGATATCTCTTTATGATAATAAAAATAACAGCACAAAAAACACGCTCGAAGCATTGAACCGCTGAGTTAGACCTTGTTGAAAATTATAATAGAGGTAACCGTATTCCATATCCTTTCAAAGTACTGATTGCCGATGTCATAAAAACAGCTTGAGATATGAGATATAGACAGACATTCCGATAATTAAACTCCGACATGTCATTTTCATCCCTTTAATCTGGCGTTATTTCTTGACGCTTTCATTACGACCAGCCTATATAATAACATCAAAGCAATCCACATTTAGGAACTCTTATTTCAATGGTAAAACTTCGCGTTGAGCAAATTATACCGGGTGTCTGAAGAGTCGCGATAATTCGTGAACTAATAACGGTAGAAAATGACTAAACCCGCGCATGATAGGATTTTTTTTCAGCTATCCAATGATGACTTTGAAGTCGACCTTGACTATGACCTTCAAGGTGATTTTAAGATCATCTAATTTTTTTTAATAAAACCTCTATCTTTTACCACGTAGATGAAAAGAGTGAACAATACTACGTTAAAATATGGCCATGACCTATCTTAAATTTTGACCTCAGGAGGCCATGATCAAGGTCAAACCCAGGGACGGTGATAGCCAGTTGTCGTATAGAGGAACAATCGAAACATTATTTTCATGATTTCCCCCAAGATATCCAATGCTGACATTGGACCTTACCTTGGCCATGGCCGTTAAGATTATTTGAAGGTCAAATCTTTTTTACTGGAACCATATACTGCTGATCACGGAAATGGAGACAAGGCAACATTTTATGTCAAAATATGTCCTTGAACATTTTTATAGTTGACCTTGTACTTGACGATCAAAGTCAAACACAAGTTTACCTTAATTTCTTGTTTATTCAGGAAACTGTGTGATTCTAAGACAAACTGACTTCTTCCAAGATCGTTCCCTGGATACGAAAATCGACTTGACCTTCACCCGACCTTGGAGGTCATCATTGTTAAGATCAGAAACGAGGTCACCATTGGATATCCGGAGGATGTCATGAAAATGGTGTCACGGTGGCTTCCCTATACCTCTAGTGGTTTTCTGTTTATATCAACGTGACTGAGCTTGACCTTGACCATGTCCTCCTAAGGTCAAAATTTAAAACGGAATATATGACGGTTGGTACTGACAATCAGCATCACATAGGTGCTGGTAATTTTACTATATGTTAAACACACGTTTACCTTGATTTCTCTATATTGCAAAAAACTGTGTAATCCTAAGGTAAACTGACTTTACTGTTGTTTCAGGATCGTACTCTGGCTACAAAAATCGACTTGACCTTCACAGAACCATCAAGGTCATCTTTACTTAGGTCAGATCCAAAGTCACCATTGGATATCTCGGGAAAAATCATGAAAATATTGTCACGGTAGTTTCCCTATACAACCACTGGTTTTCACGTGATATCACCGTGACTGGGTTTGACTTTGACCATAACCTCCTAAGGTTAAAATTCAAGAAAGGTCGAAACTATATTTGAACGTAAACTTTTTCATTTACGGAATTAATAAATCGACTTCTCCTTCAAATGGCCTTGGAGGTGACTGTCAAAGTCAAATCCAAGGTCACCAGTGGATAGCTGGGGAAGACACCTATCAGTCGCAGGACTTAGCTTTTTCATACCAATATTAGTTTACAATTTTTTTTAGATACTAATGACTGTAGCTACATGCTGGAGTTTGACGAATATTGCAACTGAGATTTGAAAATCAACACCAAAAAGACGAAATATGTATACTAAGTGACATATAAATCCGAACACCCAGTTTGTATGGTTTTATTTTAATAAAAGTTGGTGAATGTATTTATCTTACTGTAAATAACAAGTGAAAAAATTTTCAGCCTTATCAGTTGGACATTCCGGTTTTTATACTGCTTTTTTTTAATTCACTAACGCTCTAAAAATGAATATTTCAGCCGCAGTAAAGAATCAACGTTGGCGGATTTTGGTTCTTGACATCCTTTACGATCGGTTACGATGCCTAGAGTACGGAGACCTGTACGATTTCGTCAACTTAGTAAGTCTGATAGGGGCCGTATAGTGGGACTTCGGGAAGCTGGACCTTCTTTTCGGGCAATTGCAGTTAGAGTGCAAAGAAGTGTAGACACTGTGGTTAGGTGTTGTCAGGCATGGCTTCGAGAAGGCCGTACGCAAAGAGCAAGGGGCACTGGACGCCGCCGTAGAACAAGAGACCGTGAAGATCGCCGCCTAAGATTATTGGCCTTAAGGGACCGTTTCTCCACTACCAGGTCCATTGCAAATGAATGGGTTGCAGAACACGGAAGACCTATTGGCATGCGAAGTGTTTACCGACGAATGAGAAGTTCTGGCTTGTTTTCATACCGGCCACACTGGGTCCTCGCTTTAACTCGAGAACACCGACGTAATCGCCTGGAGTGGCGCAGACAACGGTCACTCTGGGATCAGGAATGAAACAGTATTGTCTTTAGTGACGAGTCACGATTTTGTTTAGGCATGCACGATGGTCATGCCAGGGTTAGAAGGCGACGTGGTGAAAGGAGGAATCCACAGTTTTTTGTTGAAAGACATGTTCATCACACTGTTGGAGTTATGGTTTGGGGTGCTATAGCTTATGGTTCCAGGTCACCTTTAATCTTCATCAGAGGTAACATGAACACGCAGCGTTATATCCACGAAGTTCTAGAAACCCATCTTTTACCCTATCTTGACACCCTGGCAGATCCAACTTTCCAACAAGATAATGCCCGACTACATGTTGCAAGAGTCACAATAGACTTATTTCAACATAATGATGTCACATTGTTACCATGGCCACCAAGATCTCTCCACTTATCCCCAATTGAGCACGTGTGAGATATGATGGGTAGGAGATTGCTCAATTTGCAATGTCCTCCTCAGACTCTAGAAGCACTTCCAGAAGAGTTGGTGGTTGTCTGGAATGAGATACCACTGGAGGACATTGACCACCTGATCAGAAGTATACCTAGGCGCGTTGGAGAATGCGTAGCACATCAGGGTGCATCCACACATTATTAAAGGTCAAAGGGCTTTAAAGCAGTGCAATCATTTTGAAATTTTCATCATTTACTTATTATGCTTCATTAAGTACTTATACGAAATTTTATTAAAATAAAACCATTTAAACTGGGTGTTCGGATTTATATGTCACTTAGTATATATGATAGTTACTAATGACTGTAGCTACATGCTGAAGAAGCGCTTTGACGAATATAGAAATTGGAATTTGAAAATCCACACCAAAAAGACGAAATATATGGTAGTTACTACTGACGATCAGCAACACTCAGATGATGGGAATTTTACGATCAATCACACTTCCTCTTTATATAATAAATATCTAGCTGTAACTCTATCAGAAAATGGGAGGAGTTCAGATGACAGAATCAATAAAATAGGGTAAGACAAACGAGTTATTAGGCATTTAAACCCCATTGTATAGAGTAAGAAAGTTAGTAACAAAGTGAAGAGATCTGTATATAAAACTATTGTAGAGAGCATTAGTACGTATGCAGCTGATGTATGTGAAATCAAAGATAAAGACAAAAGTCGGTACTGTTTTTCCTTTGAAATGGATTACTGGAGAAGTGGCGCGGGGATTTTAAGATTGGATCATATTAGGAACTAGGAGATAAGAAGGAAAATGGAAGTAGAAGGAAATATTATGGACACATTATTCGATTGTACCACTTTAGACTATGCATACTGGTATTCACATATACAGTTCAAATTGTTTGGGAAACGTTATGATCTTTGTACTTTTTACCGTTCACCAAAAAAGTGATGTGGATTTTTAACGTTTTTTGAAGAAAAATGCGAAGAAATGTGGAATTTTAGAAACAATATAATACTTTTAGGTGATTTTAATTTAAATTCTAATGGTAAAAGCGTGAAAACAAAATAATTAAAAGAAACCATAAACAACTATGGGTTCAAGCAAAAAATTGAAGAGATTACCAGAATAACATCATTATCAGAGACTTTGTTAGATCTTGTTATTATAAAGTTCGAATGTGCAGGGATTAAAGCTGTACATACACCTAAAGTTAGCGATCACAGTTGGACAATGCTGCCCTTGGTAGGGCATTTTTCTGATACAAAAATTAAGAAAATCGTAAATACTATTAAGTACGAAAAACTTGAACGAGAACTTGCTGGCTGCTATTGGAATTTTGGTGAGAATATGGAAAAAATACATGACAACATAATAGGAAATATAAAAACTTGTTTAGATCTTGCAACTGATAAAAAAGTGATTTGCTCGACAAAAAATACACCCTGGTATAACAAGAATATTAAGGCAGCTCAAAATTTGAGAGACAAACAATACAATAAATGTATATTCACAAAATCAAATGATGATTGGGAATATATGTGTATATGTAATTAGAGAAGAAAAAAGGAAATTCTACGATAAACAAATCGATAATAACAAGTGCGACAGTGTAAAGATGTGGAAGACTTTAAAAAGACTGATCAATTCGAAGCCGCATGATTGTGAAAATCAAGTTCAATTCGAAAACGGTACTTAAACAAATTCTTTGGTGATTTCAAACAAACTAAATGAATATTTTGTGGAAAGTATTGTTGATATTGTGGGTACTGCCAATGCTGCACCTGACTATATGAAAATCAGTTTCCAGGGGGAAATGTTGCATACACTTTCAAAATTTCACAGAGTGTCATTGAATTATCTAAGAAAAATGGTAAACAGTTTAAAATCAAATAACAACTGTGCCGGAATCACTACTAAAAACGTGCTGAAAACTGTTTCGAAATTTTGGGATATCCTGTATTAAATTGGATCAATTGTTCACTGAGAAGCAGTTCTTTTCCTGAAAATTTGAAATGCTCTACAATAACACCAGTTCCCAAAATAGAAGATTCTGAAAGATGCAGCGATATGAGTAACCAGTAAATGTGCTACCAGACATTGAAAAATTATTAGAGTCCATAGTGCAAGACCAATTAATGCAGTTTATAGAAGAAAACAAAATTTTAGAGGAGGCGCAAGCAGGCTTTCGAAAAAAATATTCCACAGAAACAGCTTTCCAGTTGGTAACTGAGAATTGGAGAAGAGCCATAGACTCAGAAGAAGTTGTCATAGCAGTATTTTTGGATTTGAAGAGGGCATTTGAAACGATTGATAGAGATATTTTGTTAGGTAAATTGAAGGCATATGGTATAACAGGAAGTGTTTTAGACTGGTTTAGAAATTATTTCTAAAAGGATGCAAGTTACAAAAGTTAATGACACTATTTCATCAAAAATTTAAAATACGTTGGGTGTTCCACAGGGCAGTATCCTGGGACCACTTCTTTTTATTTTATACATAAATGATTTACCTGCCATAGTCAAAAAATGCTAAATTCAGATTTTCGCCTCAAAATGGTTAGCATCTAACAGACTAAAATTAAATGCAAGTAAAACGAAAGCCTTGTTAATCGGAAAAAAACAATGTACAAATGTTCAACTGAGTATTGATGGTGAAGATATTGAATTCGTAGAAAATTTTAAATACCTGGGGGTTTTTGTTGACTCTCGATTAATTTTTGATATTCATTATGAGAAAGTTGTAAATAAGATTAGTAGTAAACTGGGATATTTATCGAGAGTTTCACGATGTCTGAGTTCATATAGCAGAAAAATTATCTATAATACCATCATTCTTCCAAATTTCTTGTACTGTTCGACTATTCTATATTTAGCAAATAATTCCATTTTTGAAAGACTGCAAATTTTACAAAATAAGTGCATGATAATAATACTAAATAAAGATAAATATACTCCAATTAGGCAAATGCTTAGCCAATTAAAATGGCTGAATGTAAAAAATTTTATCAAATATCTTGTAATGATATTCATTTATAAAGTAAAAAATAATATATTTCCATCAAGTCTAACTAATTTAACATCATCAAATGTCGACCATCATTTACATAATACCAGAAATAAACATGACTTCCATTTAATGACCAAAAAGTATAACATATGCTACAAATCTGTATTCCATCAAGGGATGATTGAATATAATAAATTATACTCGGAGATAAAAGACCATAAAACTTTGACAAAATTTACAGTAAAATTGAGAAATCAGTTGTTAAATCTACAATTATAGCTTGCCCAGCATTTACATCATACACCATATGGCTTGAATTTACTAGTTCTAAGTTGTTTACAATTATTCTGTTTATGTAGCCAAATGTGCTAAATAAATCTTTCTACTACTACTACTACACTATCGAGCTCAAGAGGCTTATATGGTATGGTCACTTAGAACGTATGAACAACGAAAGAAGGCCGAAAAATTTATGGAATTGGACCCCTGCCCAAAAGAGGGAATGCGGCCTACCATCCAGGAGTTGGAAAACTGATGCCAGAGAACCCATGAGGACAAGAAATATTCGTTGAACTAATTGCTTAGACAGTTTCAACAGGTAGTTTTTGGCTGTTCGGTACTGTGAAATACAGTCAGATAAATAAATTGATGATACGATGCTGCCTAGCTATGAATGAAGGTACTGTTTGAAACAACTTCTCATGTTCAAAACTTATTTTTTTTAAATGCTACTAAATAAAAAAGGAATTTTTTCGAAAAAGACAAAAAAATTAATATCTCAAAACAAGATAAACTTTTATTAGGGTCATTTTTTGGTATGCTGTAGATGCGCTTCGCCTATCGTCCCTATTTTTTTGTCGTACTATTTACCGGGCACCCTGTATAATAAACGTACCTAATATAGGTTCTGTGATCTCCACCTTCTCCCTATCAGGATCATGCGACCTGGCATTCTTACTCGAATGCGGTTTCAAAATCGGCTCAACAATCTCCTTTACCAGCCCATCCTCATTACTAGCGATCGCATTATCAACCTTGATGATCCTAGTGTTGAACGCCCTGCTGGACTCAGACGCTTCGGTATCTAAAATATCATTCTCCTTGTCGTTGCTCCAAGGGATGTTAAAAATGCCCATGGTGTCCCGAAAAAGATTCGGTTTGTCCGATTTGTTATCGTTGTCTTCCAATCCAACCCGAACTACTTGAGTGGGCGTGAAGTCTGGTCGCTTGTCGGTGTCATTGGGCTTGTCGTCGATTCTGTCATCTGCGATATTCTCGAACTGGTCCTTCGGGAGGTTGCATTCGCCTGGGTATAGCGGGAGTAGAACCGGTACCCCGGAATGTAGGATTAGATTCTTTTTGCATACTGATGACCTGGAAAGATGAACGGTTAGTATACGGGTGACTTGTAATGTCACGTATTCTTGTTAAGGGGTGATAGATTATGTCAAAGGCAACCGATTTTGTCCTATAATGTCCGATCCAGAAGTTAACCGTTTTTGAGTTATTTGAATTTTATTTTTTTATTTTTTATTCCGATGTCAGACGGTTAAATTTGAAATACAAAAAAAAACTACATGTTTGATTTTGAGTTTTTTGTTATCGTCGCATAGCGGATATTCCAGTAGTTTATAATAAGTAATAAAATGTTGAAAATTTACAAAATTTTTAAAATTACGCTTTTGAAATGTATGATTTTATTATTTTTTTACTAACTTATTCGATAAAAAATGTGATTTTCTGTAAAAAATCTCCTAGTAATGAAATGTGAAATTATGTAAATACTATCTCTATCTAACAAGCTTTCATTTGAGGTTTAAAAGTTACAACTAACTGAAGTACAAAGACATGAGATTAAAAAAAGATGAGTAAAGTTGTACAAACGACAGTTACGTAGGATAAATAAAAGGCTTTTATTTTAATTACAGTTTTATTTAATTACATTTCCTTTAGTATTTTACAGATTCTGCTCAAATTGTGATCCCCTGTTACGAATACACGCCCGCAATCTCTTACGTAATTCACTTTTGGTAACTCTATTGTTAAGCGGCTTTTTATTTGGTCAGCTGCACTGATTATCCTTGTAATTAATTCATCGCGCGTTGGTACGGGTGAAACATCGTACACCAGGCTTTTCATATGTCCCCACACATAGTAATCCATCGGTGTGAGATCTGGGCTTCTTGCTGGCCAGGCAATGGGCCCGCCTCTGCCAATCCATTGATTTGGAAATTTAGAGTCTAAATAGGCCCGTACTAATCTACTGTAGTGTGCGGTACAGCCGTCGTGCTTCAATCGCATATTTTGTCTCGTCGCCAATGGGACGTCTTCCATTAATGGAAACAATTGATTTTCAAGAATTCTTCATACACTTCTCCATTTCAATTGGCTGGCAGAAAATGAGGTCCAATTAAATATCCGTCAATGATGCCCATCCACACATTGACTGAAAACCGGCTCTGAGACCCCGTCGGTCTTATTTTTCGGGGGTTTAAAGCTTCTTTATCAGTCCAGTAATGGGCATTATGGTAGTTAGTGATCGCGTCCTTATCAAACTTCGATTCATCGGTCCACAGAATTTTCTTAAAATAGTCTGGATCTTCTGTATCTGCATGTAACATGTACCTGCAGAAATCGAATCGTCTTGCAGGATCGCCCTCTTCAATCACATGCACAGGCGTGTAGTGATAAGGGTATAATCCTGCAGTATGCACAGTAAGCCATACTTTGTATTGTGATATACCCAACTGAGCAGCCACAATGCGCGTAGACGTAGTAGGGTCTTCCCGAAACACACGAAGGATTTCCTCTTCATCTTCAGGAGGATAGATTCGGGGTCGACCAGCATCACTATGTTGCCTTTGAACACGTCCGGTTTGGCGGATGCGCCGATACACAGAATCAAACACAGTAACATGAGGTGTTCGGCGATTCGGGAAACGTTGCCGATATTCACGGCGGGCAGCTGCAGGATCGCCGTTACAAAGTCCATAACAGAACATTATGTCTGCGTATTCTTCATTTGTAAAAGTTTGCCCGTGCTCGCTATGGCGAGGTCCTGGCGGATCTTCTGCGTCTGCCATGATGATAAAGAAACCACTCGAAATGAACTGGGAAACTCGAAAATAATAATCGTGCGTAAAACGTGTGCGCCTACGCAGTAGTTGGTACCAACTAAACCTAATTCTCACTCGGCGTGCGGCGATGGCGTAACTACAATGATGAATAATAACAGCTCTCTCTCTCTCACTCCTCCACTAAAGCAGCTCTTCTCGCTCGCTTCCTCGTCGAGCCAGTGCCATAAAACAATCACGGCATGCGAGTCCTTTGAGGACAGTAACGACTTGATCAAACAGGTGATACAGATTCCTTAAAAATACAGCCTCTGTGGGTGTCATTGTTGTTTCTCTGCATGTACTTCAGATAATTGAACGCTTAATACCTCAAATGAAAGCTTGTTATATAGAGATATTCTTAACATAATTTTCACATCTCATTACTAGGAGATTTTTTACATAAAATTGCATTTTTTATCGAATAAGTTAGTAAAAAAAAGAAAATGATACATTTAAAAAGCGTAATTTTAAAAAGTTTGTAGCTTTTCAACATTTTATTACTTATTATGAACTATTGGAATGTCTGCTATGCGACGATAACAAAAAACTCAAAATCAAGCATGCAGTTTTTTTGTATTTCAATTTTAACCATCTGAAATCGGAATAAAAAATAAAAAACTTAAAATTCTAATAACTCAAAAATGGTTAACTTTTGGGTAAGACATGATAAGACAAAATCGGTTGCTTCTGACCTAATCTATCACCCCTTAACAGGAATACGTGACATTACAAGTCGCATAGCAGTTTGAGGTCTGACAGCTGAAATGCTAATTTTGTAGCTAAGTCTATGTTTAGTACTTTAATTTGAGCTATAATATTCATATACAGGGTGTAAAGTTAGTAGAGGATCAACAGAAGTCAGCTGATAGAGGGCCTGGTTGAACTATACTTTAGCGCATATCGCAAATATTTCATTTCTTACTTTAAAATGAAAGATTAGGATGTAACTTGCACGAAAATGTCATTTTTTTCTTTATGGAACCCTCTGCTTGCTATTTCAAAGAACTTCAAATTTGTTTTTTTGGGTGCTAGTACTGTGGTATAGAATACTGCTTTATAAGCTGTTTTCTTCTTGTTTATACAAAAGATTGTTCAAAATTGTATGAATATAACATACACTGCAAGTTACTGTGATACTGTTCAACGTAATAATGCAATTTTGCATTATTGTAATGATAAAAATAGTTCATTGCTAAGTAGTCATTTCCTTTATTTCAGATAATTATTCCCATCACTATTCCACCGTCACTGTCGTATTCTCTCCTTCTAGTTGCGATGTTGCCAAATCATGGATAGTAATATACCTTAATTTGGTTTGTCTAATTCTTATATACTAGCGCAAAAATGTGCAATTGGCACAGGATTGATATGAAAATGCGATTTGGAGGTGTGGCCGGCAGGTTTTACTGTACTAAATCCATCCTATGTCCTACGATAGCGTTAGCTAAAGAGACTTTTTGAAGAATGCCTCATGCCCTTCAGAAAAGTACTTCGGTTATTGGTTTTCCTATATTCTTGTTATAATCTATTTACCTTCTGTATGTACTTGAAGAATTATTTAAAGTGAAGCTGATGTTACAAAATGTACCTAATTCATTGTGATATATATGAGAAATAACTGAAAAAGTAGCTGTGCAAATCACTAAATAATGAAAACATAACAAAAAACATTGCAAGTTTTTTGATGATTTGATGAAATGAAATGATGATGATGATGAAAACGTTATTCAAAACAATTGTATACGTTTCATCTTTGGCTTACGTAAATTTGATCATGTATCAGCGAAATATCCCGTTCTAAACTGGTTAAAAATTACTGACATGGTCAAGTATCACTATTCAGTTTTTGTTCATAAATTGCTGCTCAGGTCTAAACCTTATTACTTGAGGAAAAAGAATTCATTTAATAATGATGTTCACTGTAGAAATAATATTAGAATACCCCTGCACAGGTACGTCTACACTTTTTAAACGCAGTTTTTTTTACAATGTTGCTATTATTTATAATGACCGTCCTAAAGTATATAAAGGATTTTCATTACCTGTCTTTCGACAAAAAGTTAAAACATTATTACTCAACCCTCCAAACATATAATTTACGTAATCCTTCATTTCTTTTTTATTCCATCTTTAATTCAGATTAATAATTTTTTAGTTCACTTGGGTTTGGAAAGTATGCCTTTTTCTCTTTTTTTAAATTTTACTTTCGATGTGATGAACCAAATCTGTTTGTGGATAGTGTATTCTTCTGAACGTCTGCTAGAGACTATATGGTTAAGTGTAAGAGTAGCAGCATGCTAAACTTCGCCATGTAAGTCTGACATTTGGCTATACTACAATGTAATTGTGGATAAATAAAGACGTCTATTATTATTACTATTATTATTATAGTGTTGGACGATCATATGTTGGGTGGACCTGGTGAGGTGGTCCAAATCGACGAATCGACGTTGGGTATTTTTATATGCAATGACCGATGGTGCCTTTTTTCACTATTTAGATACATACTGTTCAAAATGTCATCTAGTTTTCGGAAATATTGGGTCAACTTTTCATAAAACGAGCCATTTACAATGAATTAAGACTTTTATTTTGCAAATAACCTCATTTCTAATTACGTATCTCTCTCAAAAAATATACAACTTGGCAACAATGGACATCATTTATCTTATCTGTCAAGAAATGAGCGTTATCAAATGGCCAGTTTGTACTTTCAAATATTTCTTATAAACGCAAAGACTTTGATTTCATTGAAAAAAATGGTTAAGGAATTTCAAGAAGACATTGAAAAATCACAAAACAACACCTCTACATAGCTTACCAAGTAAATACCATTACGTATGTATTTTGATCTGTTATTCAAGCTAATAAGCTAATGTGTAAAAACACGTCTGGTTTTGAACCTTCTTTGCAACGATTTTTTACAGTTTTACATCTATTTTCCTTAGTACTATACAGTGTATGTTATTTTTTTATAATTTTAGAGCATCCTTTTGTACAAAAAGCAAAAAAAGACAGCATATAAAACAGTATTCTATTCTAGAGTATTACCCCCAAAAATGCAACTTCGAAGTTCTATAAAATAACAAGCAGAGGGTTCCTTAAAGAAAAAATGATATTTTCGTAAAAGTTACATCCTAATCTTTCATTTATAGATGAACTATCATATCGCAAACATTTCATTTCTTATTTCAAAACACATCGAATGAACCTCTATATGTGTGGTCCGAAACTTTATAGGTCAGGAGATATTTGCAA